ACACACACACACACACATACACACACAGTCCTCACCTGCAGGACAAAGCCTTGGCACATCGGTGTAGAGGCACCGAGACGATCCTCCGCTTAGAGATGACTACGAGTTTCTGACGGGTATCGTCTGCGCGATTGCTGAGCACTTTCAGGTTTACAACAGGCTCGTCTTCATCCAGCACCTGAATATCCTCGATTACCACAGATTCGATCTGGGCGCCTTTGCCTTTGTTAATCGACTTGATTATCCGACCATCATCTGAGGGAGACAGGGCAGATTAAAATTTTTAATATTTTTTTTTGGTAGAGGTTTTACGGCGCTCGCAACTGCATAAGGTCATATGAACGCCAGAAGATAAGAGGTGTTACAGGAGAGTAACAAACATAAAAAAATGAAAAAGGGGAGATAAGGACGATAGATGTTTGATAGGAAAGAAGACGTAAACCACACCAGAGCACCCGCCAACCACCCACGTTTGTTTGTTTATTTGTTTGTTGTTCTCTTTTGGGGGGGGGGGGGTGGTGGTATGATATTGACTAGCTCTGTCTTTCTGCTCGGATTTATCCCAAATAGCCGGGGTTTTGGCCCTGGTACTCAGGATGGAAGAAGCCCGCCTCCAAAACGATATAAACTAAACCACTGGGGCCGTGAAACTGGAACAAACAGTGAAACATCTGGTCATTGTTCCCTAAACACCTAGCTCTGGACGCACAAGTAAATTGGAAAGGGTGATGAGAGGGGTGGGGTGGATGTGGGCGTGGGGAGATACATTGGGGTTTCTGGGAGTTCTGGTTTTATCAATACTGAGGTCGCGAGTGGAAAAGACCTGTACAAACGAAGCCATAAGTACGGAGACCTCTATGCCACAAGTTGAACAGCTAGTCGACGTATTTACAGAAAATATCATTTATTGCCCATACCGTTTATGGTCCATACCATATTATATTACCAATACCACTTATTGCCCACCTCAACACAAAAAAATCAAATGAAAATAAAATATTGCGAACGAAGAGCAATAAAACAAAATGAAGAAATAAACATCCATCCACTACGCGCTCTGGCACGATGCTGAACAATAAGCTTTATCTTAAAGAGAGGTACATCGAAACAAAAATGGGGAGAGAGAATATAACAAGCGGTGGATATGCAAGAAGTTATGAACATTTTTGCATCGATAGTAGACGAACACGATATACCAGAAGATGGAGTACAGTAGTGAAGTTTGTTTGAAAAGGGGAAGGAAGGAGAGGAGTCCGCAGTAAATATATTGCAAAGGTTCAACGCCCCCATAGACAGAACGGTGGTCTTTTTGTACTTGGACTGCTGCGACCTTGTCTGTCAAGGTCAACCCGGGCTATTTGGGCTTCATTTCAGAAGAAAGACGGAGATACCCGAAGTTTACAAAATATTATGTTTAATAGAAGAAAAAAAGGATACACATTTTGTAAGTTCTCTTTACTGCGAAAGACAAGACTGGGATAAAGGTAACACGTTCCTAATGCATATTATTCATCAATGTTATGCCGTGTGTCATTTAAACATTTTAATAAATTGAGACATGAAGCCGGTGAAAAAAAAAAAGAAAGCGAAGGACATATCCGATGTCATTGACTCAAGGTATCAAGCTGTTTTCCATTCCAACATCATTTCATATTCACGAGAGCATGGACAATCCTATAAAAACATATCCAAGCAGCTGAAAGACGGGCAAATATTTGAATGTCCATGTGCTCAAGACAGCGTAAAAGTTTTAGAGATTAACTCTGTGGGGGCGGAAGAATTCAATCTTTTTCATGTCATATGTATAACATTTTTTCTTAACCCTCTACAGTCAGAACTCGTGAACTGTGGCGTTATCAACACGTCCATACTTCAAGTCTCAATTAGGGTTAACCGTTTTGCTAGAAGTAAAGGTACGTGTATGCTCGTTCATGCCGAAGACATTACAACGGTAATGAAGGTTATGTAGGTTTTATGGAGAAAGGAGAAGGAGTTTTGAGAAGGAAGCAGATAATGGTGGGCTGTGATTCTTTTGTCATGTATAGCAATTTATGTCTTTAAAGTAATAACGCATCCAAATATTTGAGAGATGGAAGAATAAAGATGGATCAACAGACAGACAGAGAGGCAGACAGAGAGACATACAGACAGAGAGACAGACAGACAGACAGACAGACAGACAGACAGACAGACAGACAGACAGACAGACAAATAGACAGCAGATTGACAGGAAGGAAATAAACAGTAAAAACGACACACGACGTAAATAAAAAGACAGATGTATAAACATAACTTACCGGTGCCAACAAAAATGACGTCATAGTAATGTCCATCCGCAGCCCGGACCTGCCAATCTATGGCTATTGCTGTGAACTTTGACCTGAAAGACCAAAGAAAACAATAACCATAAATAAAAGAGAAATAACGTATCAAATCAAAAATACTTTTCTTAATTCAAGTGGACGAAGGAAAAAACAAAGAAAAACGTAAGTCAGTGAAGTCGAAGCATAGGATATATTGCTAGTCGAAATTCATTGAATTTAAATGTGAACTTATATATTATCGAGAGAGAGAGAGAGAGAGAGAGAGAGAGAGAGAGAGAGAGAGAGAGAGAGAGAGAGA